AGAAACTACTTATTTTGTTACAGGTGACAATTGATAGAGACTCAGTCTTATTAAGTAGCAGATTTCAGGACTATAAGTCTTAGGCTCTGTAAGTGACTGACTATTCATTCGCTTGTAGATTTTTTAAATTTTTTTTTAACAGATCCACTGATCACCCAATGTTCTATGTTCCCTGCATGTTTTCTTATTGCTGGGGCTATTTGGAAGTATATTCTTTCTGAAATAATGCAAAAAAATGCTTTAGCTAAATCTATTATTTAAGGAGATTCAAGTGATGAACACTCTTAACAAGTATTTATAGAATCTGAATAACCCTGCTCTTCAGATTAATACAGTGAGAGTTAATCAACTCTCTGGTTGTCTAGGCTGGGAGCTCAAGTTTTTGTAGAATTATGTTTTCACTAAGACAAAATCAAGAAACTACTTGGGAAAGGAATACGAGGCAAAAATTGCTAAAAGTAACACAGCTGATGTTGTTTTTCTGTTAAACTAATATGCTCACTTTTGAGCCAGAACTGGCATAAGATAGGACAGGAATTGATAGTAAATGAACCAAAGTAATTTTTGCTGAAATAAAGTGATTTGAGAAGTGGTTGTAAATATGAAGTGGGATAGTTTGAGCATCAGTTTAGCAAACTTAACACACTGGAAGCTTGCAAGTCATTCCCACCACACTTATCAAGTTAAGGGTATCACCTGGCTTCTCCAAGAGCACACCATGTCTTTTTCACCTCCATCTTCCTCTCCCACTCTCAGATCATGCCTGGAAGATCTGTCCTGCTTCTGAGGATTGGTTGCCATTGAGATGATGGCTCTATAAGAGGACCAAACAGCTTCCCTAACAGAAAGTATTAGTAGTGAAGAACTAAATAGTATAAGTAAAAACAGTATTAAATATTTTCAGAGCAATAAATCAATCTGTCACATGCCTGCTTTTGCCTAAGGGTTATAATTCTCAGGAACTGGGGAACACTTACCTTCCTCAGATTTTTCTTCCATAGTCTTCCCAGTGGCAGCCTATTTTTCCACAGAAGGTCTGACAAATGAATACCCACCCCTTTCCTAGGAGTATCTTTTTAACTGGTTTTTTGCTCTTTGAGCTCTGCATTGGCACTGTGGTAGTACCATTTTGGCCTGGAGCTTGGAAATATGTTGTTGTGTTGCTATTGCTTCTCCTTTTGTGATTGCTGAGAGTCTTGTGTTGTTTTCTCCAAAAATCCTTTTTCCTCCTCCCATTACTGAATTAGGTCCATTAGTTTCTTCATAAAGCTCTAGCAACTCACCACAGTTTAGTGGTGAGTGGATAAGTGGATAATGCATTTTTGCACTTTTTTGTCTTAGATTATTTTCTTGCACCTCCATGCTGATCAGGGTCTCACTGAAGTCAGTGGGAAGTAGTGCAGGAAAAGCCTGAGCAAGAGGAAGGTACACAGGGATTTGCTTGCCATTGTAAGAAATATTGCTTGAACCAACCATGAGCTGATAAGCAATGTGCTTTTACCTAAACCTGTTTAGTTTCATGGAAAGATGAAAAAACCATTCATGGCCAATAGAGAAAAACTAATATGACAAAAACTTGACAGTGGCAATTATTTTCCAACTGGACTAAGACCATTGCCCTTACTTCAAGGGACCTTTTATCTGCTTTTCTAGATCACTTTAAACACTGCGGATGCTCCTACAAAATACATCCTTTTCCTCTTCCAGAAGGATTAAGTTATTTTAATTTTACATTTAATAAAATCTTAATTAAGCTGAATGATCAGCCTTCACAAAATATATTTCCATACTGGCAAAATTGCTAGCCACACTCACTGGTTTATGATATGGCCCTGTGGAAGCCTAATAGTTGCCTTTGTTCTTATTTCACCAGTCTGCTGGCTTTTCTTTTTTAGATATAGCTGTAGATTTATACAGTTCTTCATGCTTCTCGATTTAATATGGTCACAAACTAACCTCCTTGAAATGAGCCTTTGGTGTGCTACCTTTACATTTCTCAGGGTGTTTTTTGTTGAAGAAGCATATGCATGGGTCACATGGGCTTCACTGAGTCTCTATCCAACCACTTGGATCTTCCTGCATAGAGAGCAGGATGCGAGCCAGGAGGTTGTGGACAGTCCTAAACCCACACAGTGAGTCAGTGATATGGTTGGAACAGGAACCGAGTGGTTGCTAGCTCTCAGCCGTTTAAGTCCATTAGCTTAAATGCTTCTCATCTTCATTTCCCTTGGTATGAATAAATAGGCTCAAATTCCAAGGAATTGCATAAAAGCTCCCAAAATTTGAGAACCACAACCATACTATTGAGATCAGCACTTCTTACATAACACTGAAATTTGGGAAACACAGCCTTAAGATTGTCACTTATCAGTCTGGAGGTTGTGGATCATTTTCATCTCAGGGCCATAGAAGTTCTGACTTCCTCCTTCACAGGGTGGCATATTATTAACATTTTGCTGTTTCAAACAGAGACAGCCTTTCTCCAAAAAGCTGTTTCTCTAATTGAAGTAGAATATGTAGAGATGCTACACTGACAGTGGCACTTAATGGGACCTGGTCTTTAGAAAACAGCTGTGTTATCAAGGGTTCCTTACTGTGTGAGGATTTTTGTTTGAATTAGCATGAGACCCACAGGGAGCTGTGTTGTCTTGTGACCTGGTATGCTAGCAAGCAGTGGATAATACATCCTGGAAGGGGGAGGTTTAGGTGGGACAAGGACTGGAATTGAAGATTCCCTGGCATTTCCTAAGAATAACATCTGGATCTGTGTGAACTGATTTGGTAAATATTTTTGTACGTTACATATGCTGCCATTTGCATGTTGAGTAGTCTGAATACCTGCATATATTACATTGCTTTGATAAAAGTCATTTTGATAAACTCAATAGTACTTGTATAGTCCCTGTGTACGTACAGGGATTTGATACTAATTTACTCACATGTAAGATTTCATTTTGTTATTTAATTGATGCCTAAAGTGAAGGGAGCCAGCTATACTTGTATTTGAAAAAGAGGAAATTATATGATAGATGTGCTGTTTTATATCTGACTTTGTAAGAGTGGCTTTTGATAGGTTGGAATGTGTCTGAATATTTAGAAAAGATCATGGGAAGATCAATGTCACAGATATTTTTTTTCTCCTTTAGAGAAAAGTAGACATGAAGCAGAAGAAAAATTGTTATAGAAAAAAGAAAATGTCTTGAATTTTTCTTCATTCTGCATCATTCCCATAAGTTTCTATTTGAAGCTATCACTGCATTTTGGCTGCCACTTTTACTGAATCTACTTAAATATATTTTCAAGGTGAATTACTTGGCTGCTTGACATTTTTGTTCTAGGTTATGCTGCAATCTATCTGATTTGCAGCCAGAGCAAAAGCATTACAGCTTGAAAGAATAGGTTTCAAAGCTTTTTTCACCCCGACCTGTGCACATGAAGGTCTCCCTACATTAAAAACATACAAGGCCATCAGATGAAGAGGGCGGCTTGTGGAAGTGCTGGAAAATGGCTGATTCATTAATTTAAATTAATTTTTGGAAGTATACATTTGAAACTTAAAAACAAGGTGTGTCTGGTGAAGTTGAATAAGCAGAGATGAATATGAAGCTGTTATTTTTACCATGCTTAGCAGACTCAGCTGGAGTTTTATTTTCAAAATTTTGGCCCTTACCACACACAAAAAATATTCAAAAATAATAGTAACACAAAGTTGGATTCTCACTGTGTAGCCTTAGTGAAATAACCACTATGCTAGTGGTCTGGAGATGAACTGCAAGGAACCAGCCAAGGATATATGATTTCTTAATATCATTCAACTGTTGCTTATTTTTTCACTCTTGGATAATGGTGAAAAGTCAGACTAAGTGCTATCTCAAGTCCATTTTTTTTTGGCAAGAGCAAGCCAATATAGGGTTTACATTTTTCTTTTCTACTTTCTTATTTATCAATAAAATTTTCATCTCTAATTAAAAAAAAAAGATCTCACATGATTTAATGTTCTTTTATAGAAAGTGTTTATCTAAGTCTTTGCAGCTCAGAGAATTCATAACATAAATTCATATTATCAGTGTTCCAGCAATCATGTGTGTTTACAAGGTTGATGTATAAAATGAATGAAAATTGTAAAGAAAAGTTTTACAGTGTGACATTGAACCCATCAGCTTGAGTCTGGCAGGCTCCCAGTCTGAGTGTAGTCCTCTGCCTTTCACAGTTTGTTTCTTATCTGCATGACAAAAAGGACATTTTTCTCACCAAAAATGTGGTGGCATTTCACAAGGTCCTAATTCGGTACTGTTTGCCATGTCAGGAAGCACTAAGAAGTGGACCCTTACTTTTAGAACCTCCTTCTCTCTTTACATCCAAGCAGCTGAAGTGCATTCATCCCCAGTGGTCATGTAGCCTTGAGGTTCCTCAGCTTTGGAATTAAAGAGATGTGTGCCGTCACCTGCATCACCTTGGTTTAAACATCATGTTCCATGGAAATTTTCCACTTTTTTGTTTTTAAAGGTTGAGGGTAAAGACTGGAAATTTAGGTTAAGCTATTTTGCCATTTTAAATATAAACAACAATGGGTGGAGGGGAACATAGCTTGGTGACAAACTTTGTTTAAACTGTGATTGAAGTACTAAGGGTTTGAATAGATGAAGAAATATTTTAAACAGTGCTAAAAACAAAAGGTGTTTTCTTAGCAATATATGCTCTGAAATGTAAACTACATATTATACAATATACTTTAAGCCCTCATACATTTGAAACTTCAGCTGCAGTAAGTACTGATTGCTTTTGTAACTAGAATTGATTATGCCTGTCCGTGTAAGTGCTGGGTATGGCTACAACAGCCCTGGAGTGCAAGAACTGTTTTGTGAAGCATGCTAATGAATATATGGAGAATAAAGTTATCCACTTGTGTCCTCAGGCCTTAACTTGTAAGTTTTATACTGCATTGTCTTTGTAAATCTTGTTAGTGTACAGGAATATTTATAGATTTTGTCTCTCTTCAGAGTCAAAGAAGCAGAGGAAGTCTGCAGACAGAAAAAGGGGAAGTCGCTATACAATATTAGACAAAAACATGACTCTGGAATTGTAAGTAAAATTTGTAGCAATACTTCTGTTTATATCACTTATTTTTCTCTTTGCATTTCATAGGTAGGTTATTCTTGATGTATGTTTTTGTTCTGGGTTGGTTTTTTGTTTTTTTCTTTAATGTTTAGCATTTTCCTTAAAGGTGTTAAATTAACAAACTTGAAATCTGCTTATGAATATTACTCCACCAAATAGATGTAGCACAAGCAAGAGCATCTATTGGCCCCACTGTGCCAATCTGTGTTCTTCCAAGACTTGGTATAGGATGCACATAGAAGGCAGAAAGGTAGTTTTGGTCTTCCAGCTTATTCATTTTGTATTCACACTCCTTTCTAGAGATACAGCATGAAAGGAAGAACTTTGATAGCTACAGATTTTTCAAGGTCGATAACTGTATCAAATACAGTGTTTTCTGATCCACTGATATAGATTTGTTTGGAGTAGAATCACTAGAAATAGATAATACTGGGTTCTCACCATTCTTTTGAAAATAAATAACTTCAGTGATAATAGAGGAGTAATTCTGGTCATTCAATAAAACCTTTCCCCTATGGTTGCCTAATCATTGTAAGGAGCATGACTGATTTTACAGAAAAATTGTTCTGGTATTACATTTAATTCATAACTGTAGAAACTGGCCATCATTTATGTTTGAAAAGTATTAGATTTTTTCATGTGCCTGTGTCCCTCTCTGTGTCCTCTGCTCCTCACCACCCCAAGACATTACTTAATTCTTTCATGTTTTGTAATCAGTCATAGTTGTGTGGTCATATTATCTGTGACATATCTTGTAAATGAAGCATGAGGTAATTTGAAGTATTCTAACTAACATAATTTGATACAGGAAGCAATAATAATGCATTTATTGTTTCTTATTTTGAATGTTTAATGAGAGTTGACTGTAGCTAGTGCCACAAGAAATGTAAATGGAGTGCTAGTTTGGTAAGGAGTTATAAACTATATTTTATCAATTTTATTTAAAAGCAGATCAACATTTTATTTCAAAAGAACCACCTAAATTAGCATTGTTTTGCATTTTTCCACCTAATATATACTGCTGTGTAAGAAGACACTGAGAGATTTCTTTTAAGAAATAACTATTTCTTTAATTATTCCTGTATCATTCTTTTTTGCACCGAAACAGGGACCTTCAGTCTGAGTGATAATTTGATGAGTGAAAAGGAAAGTAAACAAAAATATTTCACAAGTGTATAGCTGTAGTCTACTTCAGTTCTAGCTTCAAAGTTTTTTTGTGAAGTCTGTTCTATGTAAATATAATCAAATATTTGCCTATGTATTTCTATGCTTTTCATATTTGTGTAAGGTGGTTTTCTGTACACTCAAATTTTGTCCTTATTTTTAAAATTTATTTTATTTTTCAGAAAGCAAAGATAAGTATGAAAATCTGAGAGAAGAAATTCAAAAGCCATTGTTACCTGGTTACCAAAATTCAACATGCTTGTGGGTGGGGAGTGAGAGGGAAGGAAACTACATCATCCTGATCATTTGCTTCCTTGACCTTTTAAAATTTGCGTTTTGTTCTCTAGAGTTTTCCACCAACTGATGTGTTATTGTGCATTCATTCATGAATGTAATCACTTTAATGGAGTGCCCAGAAATAGACTAGGTATGGACTTGAAACACCTTCCCTGTACTCTGTATCTCCTTTGCCACTCAAAAATGGTATTTTGTAAAGTGTATGGTATATTACAAATAGGACAAGTCAGCATGCATAAAAAGTGGTATCTGCATCAGTTCTGAACATGCTGAAAATTGCATTAAGTTGAACTTCGTAAGAATGCTACTCGGCACAGTAAAACATTTCCATTCCTACTGGCAACATCAGACACAAATACTTCATGGCACTGCACTTAGTTTAGGGAAAGAAATGTTACTCCTAGTGAATTGTTTGTATCTGTTTCATGTTGGCATTTGTAGTTTGTATTTTGAATTGTTAAGTGCTGTTTATACAGTATAATCAATGCTTTCCCAACTTGTTTGGTTGCCCTCCATGACTAAATATTTGTGGAACAAGATGTTTACTGTAACTATGTTTTAAATCGATAAGACAGCATACTTTTACTTCATCTTCTGCCAGATAGTGAATGCCAGGTGGTATGGGGGTCAGAAATCCAGCATTAAAAAAAAAAAAAAAAGAAAAAAAAAGTGTACAGAAAAGCACAGAAGTATGATAGAGAGTATGAGAGCTTTGGCTATTATAGTTTGTTAATATATAAAGCAGCTAATACTTTTACATGAACTTTAGAAGGTATAATATAGTTTTAACTGCTGATCACTTAAGTCAGACAGGCTCTTGGCCACATGTACATGACTTCCCTTCTGGAATTAGCTTTACAGTTAAATGAAAACTCCTTTAGAGAGCTATTAAAAGATGCACATGGAGACAACATTTATGGAAAACAGTAGCCAATTCTAGTGATATGTGGGCGACCTGAGCCTTGTGTGGTGGGGCAGCCCGCTGCTGGCTAGACCACAGGTGCCTCAATAGCGTAATAAAGTCTCCACCAAAAGACAGGAGGACTCTTGAGCCACTGTAATCCACGTGGGTTTATTGAGGAGAATGAGGATGAAGGGGACAAGAGCGGGAGCAGGGAGACACCCACATGCAGGGCAAACGGGCTGCAAGAGTGAGCGGGGAGGAGGGGCCAGAGGATATAACTGGGAAAGGCAAGGGGTGGCTGGGGTACAAACAATCCAATGGGAAGGGGGCGTAAGGGGGGAGCAGGGACAGAGTGGCATAAACTGGACCAATAGGAACAAGGGGAAGGATTGGTTAACTCGAGAGAACTAATGGGGAATGGAGAACGTGGAACTTTCTAGAACTAAAGGATGGTACAAACAGTGATGAGCATAAACTGGGGAGGATACGACATATGATGGGCATATCTTTATTTATGTGGGGAAGACAGGAATCCAGGGGCAATACTTTTCCTTATACCACTGTGGTTTCCCAAGGCGTTCCTAGAGAATCCTTCCCAGGAACGCCTCCCACAGTGACAGAACATAGACTACCAACTAATTGATATCAATTTCACACTTAACAGAATTACAGATATTTCTTCCAGGCTTTCAGTGTCCCTGACCAGGAGATTAATGGTTGAAATATATGACTTAGGGCTTCCATTTTAAAGCACACGCTTACTTCCTATTTGCAATCCAGAATTTGGTCTATCAGTTTTGGACTGCTCAGCTGTCCTGGTTTAGGGAAAATTTGGGAGAAAACTTCTGGAAGGAGCCCCCAGAAAGCAAACCCCCCTCCCCCCCACCTGGTTTGGGAAGAATTTCCTCCGCGAGAAGTGGGGAAAAATCCTGTTTATTTAACAAGCAAAACACTACCCAGTACAAAAAAAAAAAAATAATAAAAAAAAAAATTAAGAACACCAGATGACAAAAACTCTTTCACCACTCTGAAGAGATGACAAATTCAGAAAGTATCTCCTGGGAGTGGTCACCCAATTCTTGGTCTCCTACGCTGGGGATGCCCCCTGCAGATCACCAAATGCAGGCTCTCAGTGCTTCTTGGTGTTTCCCAGGTCCCAGTCCAGAGCAGATTGGAATGATATTCAGGAATGGGAAAGGAAAAAAAGCCAGTCCAGGGAAAGACTTAGACTGCTTAGCTAAACTAACTAATAAGCAAAAGCAAAGGCAAAAGCAGAAGCAAGAGCAAGCAAGCAAGCAAAGCCTCTCCTAGACAACAGACCATGGGGGAATGTGAGCCACTTGATAACAAGAGAAAACAAACCTTCACTTTCAGAGTCAGTTCTGAAAGCACAGAATAAAATATCAAACAGAACACACGACTGGGGATAGAAGCACCATAACATCACTCAAGGATGATTCCACCCCTTATCTCCATATCGTCAACGTACTACTAAACATCATGTAAAAATTTCATCAAGTAAAAACTTCCATCTTTCACTTATACACATATCCTTCCATCTCACTTGCTCAAACCTTCGACACATACACATTTCCTTCTATCTCATGTCTGTGTGTTTTCATGTACAGACAATGGCAGTAACATCCAGCAAACAGTGATATTTGCACACGAGTCTCACCCCCACAATCAGATCTCCCTGAGGTACACATTGTGTTGTTCCATCTCTCTGCATTATCCACCATGTACAACCTGGTCCCTGAGCAAAGACAATCCCATGAAAGGGTTTGTCTGTACTCGAGGCAGAATTGATCCACACTGTTTTACCCAACAAACCTCTGACATGTGCCACTGGGACTTTATCTCCGTCTGCTATGTTCAGGGACTCAGACTGTGCAGGACCTGCTCGATTGGTGGAACCTCAGATGTTAACTAACCAGGTGGCCTTTGCTAAATGCTGCTCCCAATTTTTGAGAGCTCCCCCACCCAATGCTTTCAAGGTGTTTTTTAACAGACCATTGTACCTCTCCACTTTGTCTGCAGCTGGTGCATGGTAGGGGATGTGGTACACCCACTCAATGCCATGTTCCCTAGCCCAGGTGTTGATAAGGCTATTCTTGAAATTAGTCCCATTGTCTGACTCAATCCTCTCAGGGGTACCATGCCTCCACAGGACCTGCTTTTCAAGGCCCAGGATGGTGTTACCTACCATCCCATGGTGGCTTCTACCATTGTGAACACATAGTGCTTGCCTTGGCATGTCTGGGGCCGTGTGATGTAATCAATCTGCCAGGATTCTCCATACCTGTACTTGGACCACCACCCACCATACCAGAGGGGCTTCACCTGCTTGGCCTGTTTTATGGTAGCACATGTCTCACAGTCATGGATCACCTGAGAAATACTGTCCATGGTTAGATCCACCCCTTGGTCTTGTGCCCACTTATAGGTGGCATCACCACCCTGATGGCCTGAGGCATCATGGGCCCGTTGTTCTAGGAACAACTCTCCCTTGTGTTCCCAGTCGAGGTCTATCTTTGACACCCCTATCTTTGCAGCCTGATCTACCTGCTGATTGTTTTGCTGCTCTTCATTAGCTCTTCTTCTGGGGACATGGGGATCTACATGGCAAACCTTCACAGGGAGCTTTTCTACCCGGGTAGTGATATCTTTCCACTCTTCAGCAGCCCAAACTGGTTTTCCTCTACGCTGCCAGTTAGCTTCTTTCCACCTCTCCAGCCACCCCTACAGAGCATTGGCTACCATCCATGCATCAGTGTAGAGATAGAGTTTTGGCCACTTCTCCCTTTCTGCAATGTCTAGGGCACGTTGAACGGCTTTGAGTTCAGCAAGTTGGCTTGATCAACCTTCTCCTTCAATGGCCTCTGCAACCCGTCGTGTGGGACTCCATACAGCTGCTTTCCACTTCCGATTCATCCCTACAATGCGACAGGAGCCGTCAGTGAACAGAGCCTAATAATAGAGAATTAGAATTAGAGCATAATAAGAGAATAGAGTGTGTTTCCTCTGCTGGCAGTTGGTTGTATGATGGAGCTTCTTCAGCCCATGTCACTGGTTCTTGTTTTTCATCTGTGACACCAAAATTTTCACCTTTGGGCCATTTTGTAATTACTTCCAAAATCCCAGAGCGATTCAGTTTACCAGTATGGGTGAGCTGCATGATGAGAGCAATCCACTTGCTCCATGTAGCCCTGGTGGCATGGTGGGTGAAGGGAACCTCTCCTCTGAACATCCACCCCAGCACTGGTAGTCGGGGTGCCAGGAGGCATTGTGCTTCTGTACCAATCACCTCTGAAGCAGCTTGGACTGCTTTGTAGGTGGCCAAGATTTCCTTCTCTGTTGGGGTGTAGTTAGCTTCAGACGCTCTGTAGCTCCAACTCCAAAATCCCAGTGGTCGGCCTCGAGTCTCATCAGGCACCTTCTGCCAAAAGCTCCAGGACAGACCATGGTTCCCGGCTGCAGATTAGAGCACGTTCTTCACATCTGGTCCTGTCCTGACTGGGCCAAGGGCTACAGCATGAGCGAACTCCTGCTTGATCCGGGCGAAAGTTTGCTGCTGCTCAGGGCCCCAGTGGAAATCATTCTTCTTGCCAGGTAAAGAGGGCTCACAATCTGACTGTACTCAGGAATGTGCATTCTCCAAAAACCTATGGCACCTAGGAAAGCTTTTGTGTCCTTGTTGGTTGGTGGGGACATAGCTGTGATCTTGTTGATGACATCTGTAGGAATCTGACACCGTCCATCTTGCCACTTCACTCCCAGGAACTGGATCTCTCAAGCAGGTCCTTTAACTTTACTCTTCTTGATGGTGAAACTAGTTTCCAGGAGGATTCGGATGATTTTCTCTCCTTTCTCAAACACTTCTGCCGCTGTGTTCCCCCATAGAATGTTATCACCAATATATTGTAGATGTTCTGGAGCCTCACCCTTTTCTAGTGCAGTCTGGATCAGCCCATGGCAGATGGTAGAACTGTGCTTCCACCCCTGGGGCAGTTGGTTCCAGGTGTACTACACTCCCCTCCACATAAAGGCAAACTGAGGCCTGCATTATGCTGCCAGTGGAATGGAGAAAAATGTGTTGGCGATATCAATAGTGGTGTACCACTTCGCTGCCTTGGACTCCAGCTCATACTGGAGTTCCAGCATGTCTGGCACAGCAGTGCTCAGTGGTGGAGTCACTTCATTCAATGCACGGGAGTCCACTGTCAATCTCCATTCTCTTCAGATTTACGCACAGGCCAAATGGGGCTGTTGAAGGATGAGTGGGTTTTGCTGACCACCCCTTGGCTCTCCAGCTCTTGGATCATCTTATGGATGGGAACCACAGCATTTCAAGTTGTTCTGTACTGTCAGTGATGCACTGTTGAAATGGCAATTGGTACCTGTTCCTCTTCTCCCTTCAGAAGTCCTGCTGTAGATGGATTCTCAGACAGTCCAGGCAAGGTGTTCAATTGCTGGACACCCTCTGCTATCCCAAATACCCACCTGAGTCCCTTTGGGACTTTAAAATACCCACTTCGGAGGTAATCTATGCCCAAAATGCATGGGGTCTCTGGGCCAGTCTCAATAGGGTGTTTTTTCCACTCATTTCCTGTCAGACTTATATCATCTTCCACCAAGGCAAAGTCCTGTGATCCACCTGTCACACCAGCAATAGAGACAGATTCTGTTCCCATACGTCTCGATGGGACTAAAGTGCATTGTGCACCACTATCAACCAAAGCCTTATATCTTTGTGGTTCCAATATGCCAGGCCAACGAATCCACACAGTCCAGAAAACACAGTTTTCCCTCGCCTCTACCTGGCTAGAGGTAGGGCCCCTCTAAGCCTGGTTATCCTTTTTTTCCTTGGGCATATGTTTTAGAGGTTCCTTCAAGGGGATCGGACATGTCATCACCATCATCATACCTGGCAGTTTGGCTACGGGCAACTGGAGCTGCTCTCCTTTTGGTGGAACTTTCTCTCCGAGTCTTGCCTTCCTTCAGTTCATGCACCCTTTGTGCCAGAGCAGCAGTAGATTTTCTGTCCCATCTCCTCATGTTTTCTCCGCAATCGCGCAGGAAGAACCACAGCTCAGCTCATGGAGTGTACCTTCTCTCCCCATCTGGGGAATGTCTGCGTTAGATACCAGAACCTCTGATCTGTACTGCTGAGATTTGGAGAAGATCCTCTTTAATCTCCTCCCTGAGTCTCTTATGATTCTCCTCTATCTTGTCTTCTAATTTCTGCAGACGTGTTTCCACTGCTACAATTCTGGCATGGGCTGGGCCATGGGCAGCATCTGCATATGCTCGGAGCTTCTTCACCATATCGAGCACGGTCTCATCCCTCTCATCCCGCTTCATTATTGCTAAAGCAGAAACGTATTCATGTGGCCCAAGCCATACAAGTTTTTGCCACATCATAGATGTACATGGTACCAAGTCTGGATTCCTAGTTGTTATTTCATCTGAGGAGATAATCTCTGCCTCTGTCATTTCTCTCAGGCATTGGATCCCTTGTTCTATAGTCTTCCACTGGGTCTGCTGCATATAAAGATCATCTGCCCACAGGTATCTTTATGCTACACTTTCCAGAACCCATGCCCAGAGGCTGTGAGGGTCATCATTCCTTCGTCAATGAGAGGACCATGTGACAGGGATCCCAAATGCCTCGCTTCAGTACCATTCAGAATTGTAGCCTCACCTGCAGCATCCCAAAGACGGACCAACCAACTAATTATAGACTCATCAGGTCGTCGAGTGTAATCCTTCCTTAGGCCACAAAGGTCCTTTAAGGAAAAGGACTCAATATTGGCCTCTAATCTTGTACCAGTTACTTTGACTCCTGAGTTTATGTCAGGAGGCGTTGAGGGTCCTTCTCCTGCATTATCATCATCATCATCATCATCATCATCATCATCATCGTCACCCACTGGTTGATCAGTCTTTTCTGTGCACTTCTCATGCTAGTAGCAACAACCATTGGTTGAGGCTTACAGTCTGGTTTAGCTGCTAGCTTAGGCTCACTGTCTGGTTTAGCTGATGGCTTTAAGCCGGGGATGTTGGCTGCAGCCTGAGTGACTGGGATAGCTGCTGATTTATCTCCCTGTCCCCCTTCCTCTGTCTGCTGCCCTACAGTATCTAGCAGAGTGTGATAAGCATATGCCAGGGCCCAGCTCACTGCAATGGTCTTTTCCTCCTTAGAGTTATCTTGGCACTCCTCTTTCAGGTACTTTGCCACCTCAACTGGATTCTGAATTTGTTCACGTGGAAAGTCCCAGGCTATAGGGTCAGAAAATTCCGTTAAGATTCGGCCCATATCCTCCCATTTCCCACACCACTCAGGATTTCTCACACTTGGGTCTACTCCTGGGTCAGGAGTCTCATCAGCCCCTCTAGAAATCTCAGCCTTCATTCTAGAGAGACTGCAGACTGTCTCAGGAAGCTTACCAGATTAAACACCAGGAAGATGGTCTCTTTAACATTCAGGGGAAAATGAACATTCTCTAATAGGGAGGTAACAGATTCAAAAGAGAAGAAGAAAACAAAGGCTGAAAAGCCTCATCCCCTGCTTCCCCTCTAACAAACTGGCTGCACAACCATAACCATTAACCATACATTCCTGGAACAGACTTCAGCACCTTTATAAACCCCCTGCAAGCCATTACACCCAAGCCCAGCCCGATGGATATTCTGGTCAGTGCCCTTCTAGTGCAAAAACTATGTATTAGGGACAATACCGGAGCTATTCCTGGATAAGAAAAGAAACCTAGGGACCAAAGAGGGATTAAGATCTCAAAAAACCCTAGGGACCAGAAACACATGAGGCCTCCACCCCAAGAGACACTATGAATTCAAACATAGCCAGTAACTGCTCTATACCAATATAAAGTAATTGGAACCAAAATATGATTAGAACAGGGTTTTTTCCACTCTCTTGAGACCCACGTTGGGCGCCAAAATATTTCTCCTGGTTTAGGACAAATTTGGGAGGAAACTTCTGGAAGGAGCCCCCGGAAAGCAAACCCCCCCCCCCCCCCACCTGGTTTGGGAAAAATTTCCTCAGAGAGAAGTGGGGAAAAATCCTGTTTATTTCAAAACATTCCCCAGCACAAAAAAAAAAAAAAAAAAAAAAAATTAAGAACACCAGATGACAAAAACTCTTTCACCACTCTGAAGAGATGACAAATTCAGAAAGTATCTCCTGGGAGTGGTCACCCAGTTCTTGGTCTCCTACGCTGGGGATGCCCACTGCAGATCACCAAATGCAGGCTCTCAGTGCTTCTCAGTGTTTCCCAGGTCCCAGTCCAGAGCAGATTGGAATGATATTCAGGAATGGGAAAGGAAAAAAAAAACAGTCCAGGGAAAAGATTGGACTGCTTAGCTAAACTAACTAATAAGCAAAAGCAAAGGCAAAAGCAGGAGCAAGAGCAAGCAAGCAAGCAAGCAAGCAAGCAAGCAAAGCCTCTCCTAGACAACAGACCATGGGGGGAGGTGAGCCGTCTGATAACAATACAAAACAAATCTTCACTTTCAGAGTCAGTTCTGGAATCACAGAACATAATATCAAACATAAATATAACACATGATTTGGGATACAAGCACCATAACGTCACCCTCAGACATCAACTGATAAGAACCCCTTCTTCCAGTCCTTAATTTAGAGCCCCAAACCAATCAGCTTGATTGATAACTTTTTTCTCTCAAAGCTAATTTTTCCTGAAAGCAGACCGTGTGTGCAAATCAGTTGGATGCAGGTGCTCACAGCTTTGGAGCCTGAAAGACACTGGGGTAAGGCAAATGAGCTCTAACCTTCTGGGTTGCATTATTCCCTGTCTAATCTAGCACATCAAGAGACATTCCGAGCTGTTCAGAGGCTAATATACTGTACAGGGTGTCATAAAAGGAAGTGCAAAATATGACCTCAGGAATCTGTTATTCTTCACATATACCAAGCACTAGAAAATATGGGTTTTTTTCACTGTGTGAAAAGTAAGTCTCCTGTTGCTGATAAACCTATGTGAAAATCTGTACTAGCAGTAATTTCTGGCAGGGATATAAATTACCAAGAATGGAATTCTAAAATTTTGTGTTGATGGGAGTAACATTACTATTTGGGGAAAACAAAGAGATTATTTGCTGTTATGACTAACTTATGAAAAAAAAAAAACTTTAAAGAGTAAAGCTATTTTAATGGCACTGATTCAAATCCATGTTTGTATTTGTGTAAACAGTAGTCTTCTCCTCCTAACTTTGCTCCTAAGTGCAAGGATACAGTAGCATGTTTTCATTTGTAGCCTTCCTGTTCTCTTCAGTACCTACAGTATGTATATTACTATACTAAATGAAATAATAGATCATCTAACAAAGATCACTATGTGCAATACTGTATTTAGTGTTTCTATTCCAATTTTTTAGAATGTTAATTTATAAGAAAATAAAAGGAATAATGAAATAACTGCTTTCTCTTGTCGCTCTCTGGTTATGCTGTAGTGTCCTACATACTATTTGCTCCCTAAGCACCACATCCCATTCTGGCTCCTGTATCAAGGAAGAGCCTTTGTGAAGAGAGCAGAGGAAATAAAGCTTCTCTTTGGTAGTGACAGTAATTCCCAGTTATGTGGATACACTACCTTTTCCCCAGGTGGTGGTAGTGAGAGCTTCAGTGTTCTTTACCCAAGGAGACTGTGTAAAACTCACTCTCCAGCTTGTGAATGCCTCCCAGTCTTGCATTTGGCTCAGGTTTGTAACCTGGTCCTACTACATTGCTGAGTTAACAGTCTCATGAAATTACTAGTAGGGCAAAAACATGCATTAAAAAGTATAATCTGCATATTATAATCCTTTTATATATATATGTATATATACAAGTATTAAAGTGTGGGTATTCTCAGTTCAGTCAGAGAGAAAATGGAGAGTTTCTAAGCAGGCAGAAGCCTGGGATGCAGTTGAGAAAGAATGTAAATAATTCTTTATCTCTATTGTTGTTCACATTGTTTATAGATAAGTTCTGCCACTGTGCATCATTCACTGCACAGGGGTGTGAGATGTTTTTACTCTAGGACCAATACAATGGGTCTGGATGATACTCTCTATAAAAGAGAGATGTATTTGAAATAAATCAGAGTTCTACTCTCAGCCTTCTGAATCTGAGTCCTTTCATACCATCCTACCTCAATAGCATCATTATAGCAACCTCCTAAAAGGTCCAGCAACCTCCTAAATCTATCACATACATACATACCCTTTCTACAGGATCTGCAGCATGGATGCTAGAAGTTATTTCAAGCCAGCCTCTCTCTCTAAAATGTCAAAGGTTAACTGCAGCTGATGGAACCATATTATGATCTTAAGACACATGCTGCAACATAGATTTTTCTTTCATTTTACCCAGACCCAGCCAATTTGGTAGAACATTTTTCTCTTTTATATAGCTCCTCTCCAACCTATTTCAAACCTCCATGCAAAGTAGCCCACTATGTGCAGCACCACAGTTGACCCATGGAACATCCAAAGGTGACTCACAGCACAAGTTACACTTCTGCTTTTTGTTTTTAGCAGCATACTCAACTTTTTACAGAATTCTGGACCAATGGTCTTTTGTTTGTTTGTTTTGTTGTTTTTTTTAAGAGGATGAACACCCCACTAGTCCCCTCTCCCCTCATTTGCTGCAATCCCCCTCTTTACTGCAACATCAAGAACTCTACACTGAAGAATTGGTCTTAATTCTACAAGAGTTCTCACAGACAAAATTCTGAGCCTTTGCTGATTGCTAACACCACATATTGCTCACTGTTACTTAAATGCAACAGCAAAGGAAGGACTTTCATACCTGAGCAGCAGATGTTATGTGCTGGAAAGAACAATCTGGGTTTCTATGAGGAGCTAAGAGGATTAATGTTGTTTTGCCTGCCAATTAAAGCCTTTCAGAAGCATGGCACTTTGTCACGTCATGACACTGTAGTGGGTAAGCTTTTTTTTTGTAGTATCTTTCATCATCCCAAAACACTTCCAAAACTTAGTTAAGTATTAACCAACTGTGGCAGTGGAATAATAGTTAGAGGGATCTTCCACAGACTGACTTTTTTTTCTTGCCCAATTTTTCAGTGATCAACTTAAAAAGTTGGAAGCAAATATTAATTCCATTGAGAGTCATATAGCAAGTCATTGCATTGCTATTATTTTGTTGCAGATTCTAGGTTAAAAGCAAAGCCAAATTTGTAACAAATCCACTATATTAGTTACTTCAGTTACATAAATTTTAAACTACTATGGACAGAATAAGTGATAACTGATGAAGTTGAGTTTTTCTGCCAGCAAAGGGAGAAAAGAGAAAATCATGCCCCAATACCATTCATGTCTGCCACCCATCAAGAGGATTCTCATTACAGAACAGATTCTTTGAGTTATTCTCTTGCTTACAACTGACCCATCTGTTCCTCTATCTGATATTCTTCCAACCTACTTATAATAGCATCCAGAGGTTAAGTCCGTTGCCTCAAAAAATGTCTTTCTGAACACAAAGGGTCCCTATTGCGTCAGCACTGTTATCTCATTTACTCCCAGCTGCTGCTCAAATTTACTGTCTTAGAAACTTCACTTGCCGCCCACCTCAAACTGGGGCTCTGCCAACATGGCAGTCCCATTGTAGTTGAGTTTAACATGCACTTTTCTCCTCCCTTCCCCTGTCCTGTAGCACCTTGTCCACTTTAAGAAGTAACTGCATTTGTCTGACCTACAGCTTTTCCATCTACTCTGAGAGATTTGCCTTGTTCTTGGATTGCTTCTACAAGTGGGAGATTTTTGAATCACAGAGTATTCCTCTGGTACAATGATGGTTCAACAGCTGGGCAGCAGCAGAGAACTGGAGCTGGAGTCTGGGCTGTGCCTCAAGCAGCAGAGGTCCAGGTGGGTGCTGGGCAATCCATGACCTGCAAAGCAGGAGACTGGCCAAGAGATGGGTGGGAATGAGAAAGGAGCATTCGAGGACATGACTGCTGAGCTCCCTTTCAGCCAAGTGACAGAGGCGCTTGGGAGGTCTGAGCAGAGAGCCTGCCCACACCTAGGCAAAGGGCTCCTGCAAGCACAGTGCCATAACGGACCCGCCCTTGCTAGCTGTGGTCTAGGTTCTCCTGCTTCTTTCAAGACCCATCACAGGCATCTCTTCTGGTAACATGGAGGCCATCAATCAACGTGACAGCTCCCTTTCCACACAGAAATTTTCCCTTGAGAAACTGCATTATCTCTGGGTTGGCAAGGGAAAAAAACACCACAAACCCCAAAATACTACTCTGTGTTTGGACTGCCATATGTTGAACCTGCTCAAGAGCTGATAGTAACAACTAAAGCTCACCTGTATCTTAGGATATGACTTTTCTTTCCTTATGAGTAGTTTGGTGCCTGTTACATAAGGATCTATATATATTTTTTAAACAAAATTATTTAGGTCAGTTACTCCTCTTATGGAGTAACTGATTAATGATAGCAGTGTTTCAACCAGTGGCGGAGCTTTGTTCATCAGTTTACCAAAAAACCCAGAATGAGTGCATGCAAAATCAACTACAGAAAATAAGAATAATGCATTTTATTTTTCCCTCTTGCCTTCCAGGTACTTCTGAGAGGAGTGGGATACAAGGGGAGAAGTAGTCAGGTTTTCCCAACCTGTCAGGGTGAGCCATAATTCACCTGTATTTAGGAGGGTGAAAAGGAAGCTGAAGAATATAATGAATAGAGAGCAGTTGGACACAAACTGTTGAAGCAAAACACCTGGATGCCATAAGACCCTAGAGTAGCTTAATTATTTTATCTATAATTTAATAGTTGACCTATAAAATAATTACATTATACTTAAAGCATTTCTTCATTTTTTTTTTTCATTTATAAAACAAGAATTAAATACAGTTTTAACCAGTACAAGCTCAACTCAGTTTTTTACATAAACACAGCTCCTAGAAGGAGCTTTAAGCTGCAGCATATTCATATTGCAAACTGCTGAAAAATCCAGGCAGGGCATAGCTTAAAGGTAAAGATTCTTGCACATTTTTCTTAAGTGAATTTACTAGGGTGCTTTTCTCTCTCTGATCTAAAATATCTGACTTTCAGTTGATTCCTTTAAGTGAAGACTGAGATCCCCAGAGTCTTACTAGACTATACTGCCACCTTCCCCATCTGCACCCCACCCACACCCACACTCTCAAGACTAGTCTGAATTGTGCCCATCCTGGGGCTGGCACGATGCAGCAGCAACAGCCCCTAAAGCATTCCCTGCATGAGGCGTCTCCCTGTGCACTTCTGACATGTTGGAAGGTCACAGCAGAAAAGCGACGTTTGTTCATGTAATAGGGCTGCCAGACCTGACCAACCTCACTCTGCCCACAGCAGTCCCTGTAAACCGCTTGGAGCTCTTGTGGAGATCAGTTCTCAAAGCCTCTTAGGGAGGCCTGTATCACATAATGGGGACCTGTGGCTCTGAAGCCCTGGCTGGTGACAGTGCTGAACACATTAACCCCTTGAAGTGGCTGCATGCAAAGAGGCTGGTGGGGAGGGGCTCCGGCAGCAGGCTGCAGATGCTGAACTGTGTGACATGCACAGGGAGTCAGCGTGTCATTTTTAATTTGTAAGCTTCAGACAACTGCGTGTGCACTGGCTTTGGTTTGGGGGAAGGGACTGATTTGAGACAGGATTTTAATGCGGGTGGGACTAATACAAATCAGAACTGTAACAAATGGGATATACAGGACATGTTAAACTCCATCAATTGAATAACAACATAGTATGATTTAAAATGAACTGCAAGTGTTCACCAACACTTATTGTGCAGGTCTCAAAAACTGAGTGGACCACCAATAGTGTAGCAATTACAACTTACTCTCTCCCTGCTCCCACAGCTGTGACCCATTCCAGCAGCACTGATTGAGGCATTTGTCCTTTAACACATTAACATGGTTTCCAATCATGGGAGAGACACCACTCCCAAAACTTGACAACACTTATGTAGCTTTTGTATTCAGTCCAGCAGTGACCAACTTTGTCCTTTGTGTGACAGTGCTTTTATACCTTTGGGGACACATCATCCCCATAAGCAGAATGATGTGTCCCCACACTACCCTTCCACCTCCCCTGGTTTGAGCCGGCATAAATATAAGGTCATAAATGGATGTTGTCCTTTTTGGAGTAAGAAACACACACACATATCTAACATACAAAAACCTACCAAAAGCATAAAACCATGTTCATTTTAAGCCAAGCAGCCAACCTAACAACTGAGTCTCTCAAAATTTTAATCGCTGGCATACTCTGCCACAAGAAAAATATACATGGCTAGGTCTATAATACTTTAAACAGCTGTTTACTATAGCTAGGTTACAAAATAAACACTGCTGCAGAGGCCATGTGTTCAATATACTCTAACCACAACAGCATCAGAACCCACCCTCAGTCTGCTCTGTGGTCACCGTG